TGTGTGTGTTAGTTACGTTAACCAAAAAAAAAAAAAAAAAAAAAAAAAAAAAAAAAAGAAAAGAAGGGAAAAAAAGAAAAAAAAAAAGGAACGGAAAACAGAGCAAAACATACAGATATACCGCTGCCCACCCCACAGCCTCTCCCGCATCTCGGCCAGCGGCACCAGCACCGCGTCGGCGCGCTCGCGCTCCTTGCCCTCGAGCCAGGCGCAGCCCTCGAATTTGCGCTCCTCGGCCGACCGCTCGCGGAAGTGGGCGTCGCCGAGGCCCATGCCGACGATGTCGCCCGTGTCCGTGTCGACGCACTTGAGCGTGTACTGGTGGTCGCACTTGTGCCACCAGTCGAGCGTGGCCCTCGCGTGCGCGTCCCGGAACTCGGCCGTGTCCGTCTTGCCGCCGGGGAAGAGTATGTCGACTATGACGCGGCCCATCATGTCGTTCTTGAAGGACGCAAAGTATATCTCGTACAGCCGCGGTATGTCCGGGATCAGCGCCGGCAGCACGGCGATGGGCATCTTGGGGTGGGATGGGGGATGGGCGGTGGGTATTGTTTAGGAACTGTGTTGGTAGGCGCTCTTGGTCTGGTCGCAAACGGGGTCGGGATTGAACAAGACGTATGAATGAGATTTACTGCCTCTTCAAGTTGGACTCCTCCAAAAGGGAATCCCTAGGTAAATAAGAAATAAAAATCCCAACCGTTTCCCTTTCGTACCTGCCCTAAGAAGGCAGCCGGATACCCATATTCTTACCATGTGAACCCGGCTGATGTCCCCTTCTTGGACAAGCAAAATCGGCTACATGCTCCGGCAGGCCATGCCATGCCATGCAACGCTGGCCCTGGGCCAGCTCGCTTGTCTAAACCATAACCGCTAGCTCGCCAAAGAATGTGGGTGGGACGATGAGACCACAACGGCCACCACCCGCCTGGGGGGCTGCTCGTTCTCTATCCGGAAGGTATTTCGCCAACGCCTCCAGCCTTTCACGTCGTCCGCCGGGCGAGAGCACCCCTTCAAGGATTTCCCCACCCGTTTCCGACTAGAAAGCAGAAAGAAAAAGCTTGTTCGCTCAGGAGCGGAGCCGATATCGACCATGGGACGATGATGGAGCCCGCCCTAACTGCTGGGGGGAATCGCCACTCGGCTGATCCGGCCAGACCGATTCCCCACCGTCCAGCTTGCGGTATTTTGCTACCTACCTAACCAGGCGAGCGATAGAGGAGGGGGAGAGACAGAGGTTGCATTCGCTCCCCTCAAGGGGACATGGTGACAGAAGCGGACCAGATGCCTGTTTCGGTGCTAGTCCCCTGCCGGTCCAGAGGGTGATGGCCAATAAAGAGTCAGGGGTGACGCCAAGGCAATTTATCAGATCCGCAGTTGGCCGTTATCTGATCTACCGTGGGGTGGCAGCCCTTGCCCTGGTCTCCTTCTCTCCCCGCTTCGTGTTCCCCAGGGCAAAAATAGGACCTGGTCCGGCCTCGGGCATTGCGTTGTGGTTCCGTGGTACGGAACAAGCATTTTGACACGTGTAGAAGGTAATTTTCTCCAGCGTCTGCCTCTGGGTTAGTAATCTCCGCCCGCGGTGTTCCAAATGTCATCGCCTCCACATTTTCATATAGTATTCCGTGGCCCAGGACACAAAGTGCAACTTCAGACAGGGCCTCGATGTGCAGCAGGGAGAAAAATGCCGACTTCAACTAGATCAGCGTCACTTGTGGATCCTCGGTGCTTTTTGTGCGGTTCGTTGGGCGCCACAGGCCTTGGCCCGTGTGCCTGAGATCACGGGAGTCACGAGTTTGATGGCACAATCGAGTCGTCAAATCATTTACTCATTGTTAACTCCAGGCCAACCATGGATCGTGTTCGCAATGGATGGCACGTCGGCAGAAAAAAACACCATAGTATGTCGATACGCTGCGACAGCAAATAGAAAACAGATATCATGCCACATCGTCATCATAAGCCCCGTAACAACTCCGCCCAGATCGTGTAATCGAAACATAAAAGTCGACCCTTGTGCCCGATATATCATGTAATTCTCCCTCCCTCAACTTGCAGTGACCAGCAGTCTATGCGATGTCAAGGAGTACCGTGGAAGAGTGTCGACAATAGGAATCGGTGCTCATGTGGATGGAGCAGAGCAGCCATGTCGAAAGAGAGAAAACTTCAGAGCGAAAAGAAACAGCGGCGCGAAATGCCACAAACTGCAACAGCCGGTCCGCAAAAGGTAGTTAAACCGCATTAGGTGAGGGTGGCAAGCATGGCGCGAAGAAGCATGGGAGGAGGACCTGCAGTGCGAGAAACAGACCTGTCAGCACAGAACGTGTAAATAAAAACAAGAGCCAGGTGACCGCACCTCTGGAATGTCGGCTGGTACCTTCACCGATACTTCGGCACACTGATGGACATCCTACCTTTCTTGTCCTTCTCGATGCGCACGCCCCGGCGCGGCTCCTCGACCTTCTCCACCCGCTCCTCATAGATGACGAGCTGGCCGTCGCTCAGCCTCTCGGCCCGGACGAGGTCGCCGCGCGAGTGCGAGTGCGACCGGTGCCTGCGGTGCTTGCGGTCCACCAGGGCCACCGGCCCGACGCTCATCTCCTCCGACACTTCGCGGTATTCGTGGTAGCCACGCGGGCCAGCGTCCACGATGACGGGGCCCCACGTCGAGTCCGTTGTGTACGAGCTGTACGAGGCCGTCGAGCGCGTCGGCGACGTGTCGCGCACCACCATGGTCGTGGTCGTGTTCATGACGGCCGGCGCAACGGGGGCAGGGGGCGGCGGTGGAGGTGCGGCGTTGACGATGTATGGCGCCGGCTCCTCCCGATAAACCACAGACGGCGGCGGTGGAACAGCCACCGGCATCGGCATCGGCACCACAACAGGAGCCGGAGGCGGCGGCGGCGGCGATGTCACCCACACTTCTTCGCGACGCCGCTCCTCAATCACCTCACCAACCTCAGAACGAGCGGCCGAAATCTCGGCCTCGCCTGGCAAATTTGAAATTTGTGCGTCAGTATTTCAGGCGGGTTATCAAAGCGGGCGGCGCCCTCATGAGAGATCTTACTTACATTTCTTGTATTCTTCACTTAGCCTCAGCAGATCATCAATGTTTTCCTGGCCAAGCGCGCGCTGGATGATTATGGTGTTTCCCTATCGTCCCAAGTGTGTCCACGTCAGCAGAGCGGTTCGGACAACGACAGCATGATCCCGGAACGAGGTTTCCGACACATGAACTCAAATCGGGTGACATCAAAGCTTACCTCTTCCTCAAAGGGGTATCCCAGCTCAATGATGGCACGCTTCGAGACGAGCTTGGCAGGGATGCGTGTCTTTCCCTTCTTGGGATACTCGCTCTTCACAGTGGTGGCTGTGCGGGACGACGAGCTGCTGCTGGTGCTGGACGACCTAGAGCTGCTGCGGATGGTACTGCTGCGATGGCTCCGGGTGGGGGAGTGGTTGCGATGGCTCCGAGTGCGAGAGTGGCTGCGCTCTCGCCTGCGAGTCCGGACGACCTCACGCTCACGCACAGTGCGTTCCGGGTACGCATGGAAGGCGTCGTCGCCGTAGTAGTCCGGATCCGAGATGCGGATCTCGTCGCTCTCGTAGCGGCGCGGCGGGGGCAGCGCGCGAGTCCGCGGGAGGGGGATGGGGGCGTATGGGTCAGGGCGGTAGTCCTCGCGGCGGGCGGGCGGGCCATACTGCTCGACGTGGTCGTGGAAGCCCCTGGGGCGGCGGTCGAAAGTGTCGAGGCTCGACTGGCGCCTGAGCAGCGTGCCAGGGCGCTGCGGCCTGCGGGGGGAGGGGCTTCCAAGCTCCTTCTCCATCATGACGCGGCGCTCATACTCCTCGCGGCGTGGCGAGGGCGGACGGCGGGCGGAACGGGGCTCATCGTCATGGTAGCGGCGCTCCCGACGGACAAAATCGTCGTCAAAGGCCGATCGCCGTCTCTCGTCGTCGCGAAAGCGGAGCGGCGGCGATGCACGTCTCGTGTAGCTACGGACGTCGTCGTCGTCATCGTAGCGGCTGCGCTCGTCGAACCGAGTGTTTCCTGCTTCCGGGTGGAACCGCTCTCGATCCCATCGGTCACCGCGGCCAGCCATGGCTTGTGTGGTCTTGGATGAACCGACGTGGGGTGATTGATGTATGCAGGGAGCCGCTGTTTAGAGGTGGCTGGGTGACACGACACCACACCTTTTATTCCCTTTTATTCCTGAGCGGCAATCCGTTTTACTTTTGCCTACTCTCGAGTTGCTGAAGGGTTGCCGTCTGGGTGAAGCGTTGATGTGACAAGAGCGTTTCGGGAGATGCTATAAAAGAGCAAAAACCAAGCGCTCGAGAAGGGGTAGCAGCAGGGGATATGAGAGAGCGAGAATGGATGGGTTGCTGCTGGAGGGTGGCAGCTGCAGTAGCCGACAGAGAAGCAGCCCGAGTGGAGCTGGTGGTTCGAGACGTGGGATTGGGAGGGGAAAGGTTGGCGGGCGAGGCGATGACGACACCTGGACCGGGGTCTTGGCCGGAAAGAGGGCGCCGCTGACACAGACTCGGTAGTGAAAAGGCGTCTGGGGCGGCCTGCTCCCTGCTCCGGGTCCTGTTAGACTAGTAATGGATCTCTGCTGCAGCTGCAGGTGGCGGTCACTGCAATGCCTGCCACTCGGAGCCCACGACGCTAGCGTCTGCCGCTTTTGACTGGCTTGACGGCTTGAAGGCTCAACTGGAGAATGCGGACCAGCGGCGAGCAGAAGACGAAAAGACCAGGGTGGATATGGTGTCCGAACTCCTGCGGTTGAGAAATGGCAGAAACGAAGAAAAAAAAGAAAGAAAACGAAAATGGTGCAGATTCTCCACGTCCTCCCTCTGGCAGCTCCAGATATTGGGAACGAGCAAGTCTCGTGTCGCACGGTCTGGCGGGTCACGAGCCTGCACCCTGTCCTGGCGTGTGAGCACTGTGTGTGGATGGTTGTCTCTGTCCTGGGGGTTCTGGTCCCTGATGATCTTAGTCCCTGTGGTCCTGTGGGATAAATGTCTCTCTCCTAGATGGATGGCAGAAACGGAAAGGGCCAAAAACACAGACGAACGGGGGATGGCCGGATCCTGTCCTTGATGGGCTGGTTGGTGTGTGGTCCTGTTATCCGTGGGCGCCTGGTGGGGTGACTGGTTGGGTGGTCTGTTGTCCGGGGGTCACGTCTGGCCCAACTCCCATATCAAGGAGGAATGTTGTGTGTGTGCAGCAGAAGGGTGCTGAGACCCGACGAGCAGCTGGATCAGTCACGCACCGATGCCGAGCCGGCAAACGCTGAGCGGTCAGGAGAGCACGCTTTCTTGAAGAGGGGAAAGGCCGGGAAGGGAAAGCCTGCTGTGCTCCTTGTGTGTTATCACCGTCTGCTAAGTCGCCCCAGAAGTTCGGACGCGAGCGCTAGCGAGCAATTTGTACTCGTGGGTGCCCCTGAGCTGCTGCATGGCTGCGGTTCTACAGATAGTCGTAATCCGGAATAATTCCTGCTGTGGCATCTTCTGGATTCTAGGCTCATGGCGCTGCCGACAGTGTGGGCTGTGGGCCTCAAAAAGCCGGTTTCTTGTGCCAGGTACTGGAGACCAGGACCAGGGTGACTGTCGTCATGCCCAATGAAACAGGCCGTGGAAAAATGTGTTTTGATGGGTCGAGTTAGGGCGGACGCCAATCGTGGGCGCGTCCACTAACAAGCAGTAACGGCGGGGCTCACAAATTGGCTGCCCCCACCCGCTCTGTTTCTCCAGCTCGTTCTCGAACAGGCACGCTGAGATGCATGGATGATCCCCAGCTTTGATCCTAGGCCATCCCAGATCGCCGTCGCACTTGGGCGGTCAGGCCTCAAGATCTCGATCCCACGACAGATGCCGTGGTGGCCAATGTGCGGACACTTCATTTCTGATGTTATTTGGGCAGCAACAAGCCCTCTCTACTTCCTGCCTTGGGTGCCTGGGCCTTTTCTCCCGTGCTGCTGTGGGTGTCGCTATTGCCGATCCATCACATGCCACAGCCATCTTGTGAGTGCATGCATGTGTGTGCGTGTGTCAGTGCCTAGTGTCAGTTCCTGGTGTCAGTTGAGCGCTGCTGGCATCCAGTCCCCCAAAGACAGGGAGCGGCTGTCCCCCGCATTCCCGTCTCTTCGCTTCGGCACCGACGCCTGGCTAAGAGCCAGGACCCTTTGTCGAAGGCTCCCTCGCTCCAGCTCGGCTCTGCCATGCGTGAGGCATCTTCGCTTGCGGGCCTTTCCTGCATATGGTAATTGGTAATTGATAACCTGTGGGTGCAGAAAAAAAGAATAAAAAAAAACACCAATTTTCAGGCCCTCATGTGCGATGACGTCGGTTTGCTGTTTTATTCCAGTCCAAAATCTGCGAGCCAGCACAGCGCCCGGGTCTTTGCAGCCCAAGTGGAGCCCACGACAGCCGGGGCAGCAACAGCTGCAGCTGTTGGACCCCTCTCGCAGGGCCTAGCCTCAAGCGACCCCCTCCCGCCGCCCGAGGTCCCCTGGGCTGGAGCGGGCCAAGTTCGATCGGGTGCCGGTGCGAGTTTTCATGCATCGCGCGCGCCATTCCCGATCGGCGCCTGCTTCGGCCTGGTGTCTTTTTCTCGGCAGGCATTTCGCTGTAGCTCGGCTCCTTCAGCAACCGCAGCTCCCGTCGAGAGTCAGGGCTGGCGAGACAGATGGGGACGGCACACATAGTCGTACGACACTGGAGGCATAACAAACTGTAATATCGGACAACCCCGGCTGCTGCCGTCGTTCGAACTTTTCCTGATCATCCCCGCGGCAACGGGTTCGGATCTGTCCTCTCACATGCCGACATAGGCAGAGGAGGGAGTTGCAAACAGCCAGTCCGTGCTCCGAAGGAACTGCTGCAGACTCCCGGAACCAAGGCTTGGCCAAGAGAGCACGGCGTGGTTTGGTTTCTTCATTATGCCTATTATCCTTTGGGCAGAGCTGGCGAAAACATGAGCTAATATGAGCTGACATGACCTCTGATCATCCGTAACACCTAGAACGAGCATATAACACTCAGTGAGACCCGTTAGCCGGCACACAGCATCCGTTCCCCCCGTGTCCGTTCCCGTCCCCGTTCCCGTTCCCGTTGGAGGCCGCGCCGTTGCCAAACGCGAGCCTGCTCATGGCGTCGGTCGCGTCCAGGGCCGCGGCGCCGCCCGCCAGCACCTGGCTCGGCGTGACGGCGTACGACGGCGGCACGTCCATGACGGGGTTGCTGGCGAAGAAGTTGCGCGGCCGCAGCAGCAGCGACATGCCCTCGGCCGGCATCACGGGGAAGTCCTCGGGCGCGGGCATGTGCGTGACCCCGAACGTGTGCCACAGCACAATGTCGTCGTCCGCCACCGCCTCGGTCCCGTCGCCCACCCACTCGGGCAGGCCCCGCGACGGCTCGCCGCTCGTCTGCGGCACGTGCCGGCCCGCCGGCCAGAGCTGGTCGTCTCGGTCTGTTTTGCGTCCAACGCGCTGGGGGTCAGCACTCTCTTCTCCGCCCACGGTTGTCCGAGGCCCGAAAGGGTTGCTTCGTACATTTGGTCACATGCACCGCGTGCCGAGCGAACCCGGCTCGCTTCCAGACGAGCGAGTTCTCCTTTGGGAGCAGCCCGGGCACCTCCCGACTGACCAGCTTGTACGTGGACGGTTTGCCGCTATAAGGGTGCAAGACGCTTTCGTTGGAAATATCCCACGTCCGCGACGTCGCGCCGTCGTAGTCCGTCTTGGCCTGTCCCGTGGTCTCCAACCTCGTCTTGCGTGCGTAGAAGGCGTTGCCGTAGAAGTTCTCGGGGCTTCCGACGGGCGCGTCCGACGCCACCGCGTCCACGGCGAAGATTGTGTTCTTGGGGCCGTCCACGTTGGGGTTGATACGCAGGCAGAACAAATGTTGGTGGTTGTGGGCATTCACACCTTGAGACAAATGGTGAAAATGGGTGAGCAAGGCGCTGCAAAAAAAAAAAAAAAGGCCGGAATACGTCTTTCCGGCTCACGGGAGGCATCCAGCACTCGGGAAAGCTTACCTGGGTACACCTGGGTCCCCCACCCAAGAGTATCTTCGTCAGGGTTCATCGCGTATGTGTTGAGGATTCCCGTGAGCTTGATCTCGGGCTGAATGGTCCCGTCTTGCTGTGCGGTTGTTAGTTCAAGGGGTCTGCCAGATGGACTAAACAGCCATGTCGACCATAAGTGACTTACGTGAAATATCCACTAACGACGGTGTCGAGATTGTCAAGTCAGCAAGGAACAGCCAAGCAACCAAAACAGCCCACGGCGCCCTCCAGCGTAGAACCTTTTACGTACCTGGATGGCATACTCGTAGTTTGCTGCCGTAAACACTTGTTGTATGATCAGCTTTCGAGCCCTTGTGACAATGGTCGAATCATCTCTGAAGTCCGTGTGCTTAAAGAGGATCCCAGCATCCTCCTCGTGGATACAGATAGCATTCTTGATGGTGTTGGTTGATCCGTCGGAGCGTGGGAAATCGGCGTCGAGGTAGTGGATAGAGCCTTTGCAGTCGCACCCTAGCGACAGACTGTTTGTCATGTACCCTGCCCCGTACTCTCCCAGGTCGAATGCGTGCTTTCGCTGATGAGGGTGCTCGGGGTTACCGCTGTCCAAGGAGATGGGCATAAGCAAACGTCCCCCATAAAAAGCAACGATTCAAGTCCGAAGGATGAGACAAAATAAAACGCAACGACATACTAGGGGACCACCATCTCGGCAAGAGACATTCGGTAGAAGATGGGGCGCACCTTGCCCTTGTCGTTGAAGGTGATGTTGTTGAGCACGATGCCCTCCCGGTAGTTGAACCCGATGTGGAACCGCCAGTTCTGCCACTCGATCTCCCGACCGTTCATGCCGAACGAGACGCCGTCCGGCTGCGTGATGTGGATGGCCTTCAGGTCCTTGCGGTACCCGCCCGCCTTCTCGACGGCCGCGGGGTGGTAGTTGACGGGCGGGGCCTTGCTCAGGGGCCGCCGCACCTTGGGGATGTCGATGTGCACAATCTGCTTCTTCCCCGCGTCGTAGATGGGGCAGAAGTCGAGCGGGTACTGGTACTGGCAGTCATCGATATCCGGGCGGTAGTACATGAACGCCTGCTGCAGACGGACCATGCTGCCATGGCGTTCGTCGTAGCCGATGGTCCAAGGGTCGCAGTACACCTTGTGCATATCCTCTTTTGGAATCCCGCTCAGCTCGCACTGCTCAATGACCTTGGGATCGGTGCGGCAGAGGTACTCGACCGCTTGGAGCTCCTCCATCATGAGGCTAAATGCCGTGTCCCTGTGTCAGTAACGGGCGCGTGGAGACAACAGGCTGACAGCAAGGCCGGGGGTGCTCACATAGGCTGTTCGCCTTCAGCGTGCTCCCATTTGACGATCTTCCCAGAAGCAAGATCCACGAGACCGTCGAAGACCTTGCTGTCCGGAGCGATGACCACGACATCGGCGACTCGTGCTGGCCTCGGCGCACTATTAGGATTGGCGAGCCAGGCCGTCATCTCGGCCTTGCGCGGCTCGTGCAGCGAAACGACGTTGGAGTGCACATCTCCGTGAGCTTTCTTCACCAGCGATATAGCAGTAGCTATCTCGTCACCCGTCAAGGGATCGAAAGGGTGCGGGGCTGTAACGAAAGTTGACCCCATGTTGGCTGCGAATCTGTTGTTTGCCCGATCTGGACGGGCTGACTGTGCGTAAATAGGTAGATAGATGTGTGACTGTTTACACGTACAGGCAACAGACACTTGAAACCCGGGAGGGAGACAGCTCGAGAGCGCCAACGCTTTTTGCCACAACAGCCGCTTATATATCGAAGGGAAACACGGGCCTGTCTCGGGAGGAGAATCCCTTGATATGCCGCAAGTCGGGCGCTAGCCTACTTTCCAAACAACCGATCCATAGCCGTGTACTTTTTTGCCATTTTGGGCAAGATATACCATCGACATCGATCCATTAGCAAAAGAAATCACTCATTGGCTAGGCTCCCTCACGATGGTGTGGGCTGCGGGCTCACGGGCGGGCAGATCTCCAAAACGTGGGACTGCCCAGGCAAGTATCTATCTTGCCCAGCACCCCCAGCTGATGTGCACCCACCACAGCGGCCGATAAGGGGGGTTTGCGGTCCCGAGCCTCGGAAGCCCGCGGGCAGGTGGAGAGCCCAGCCGACAGCCCGGGAGAGGAGGAGGGGTGATAAGCCGGCCCCGCTTCGCTTCTTGGGGCTGGCCGCGTGCGATTGCCCAATGCAGGTATTTCAAGCAGCGCCGCGCATGCAGCTTGATGTCTTTCTCGGAGCCCGGCGGCGCGCCATCTATCGCCATAACGTGTGCGGGGGAGGGGTCGGTTTCTGTGACGTACTTACAGAAGCTCGTGTTCCATTGATCATGAACAACAAGACAGCCTCTTCCCTCGGTGGGTAGATACCTGGTATCGGACCAAGTCAAATGATCCCGTGTAGGCTGCTTGTATATTTTATCTGATTTGGAACTCATCCGATCCCGTTTGAACCTTATCAGCTCTTTCTTGTCGTTCGTTGTATTTTAGAAGCTTGTTCTCTTACAGTGTTCGTCCCAGCTAGCTATACCCCCTTCCGAGGGTTATACTAGTCGCTGCTAGCGCGCTCGTTATCTTGCTTGCAATGACTTCAGACAGTGGGCATCCTAGCTCATGGCGCCGCTCCCTCGTATTTATTTTGCCATATTTATCAGATACAGCCAAGGCCGCTGGCACCATGCAATGTTTTGCGAACTCCCTAAAAACTATCACATCACATTCGCCCGGCCACGGCTGGCAACAGCTCTCCGGAGAGAACTTCGCCCAGTCCGTTGCCAAGCAAGGCACTTGTGCCCCTCGTGTCACACACTGATTAGCGCTCGCTCCATGGTGTCATCAATACAGATTATAAGCCAAGCCCTTCTCAGGGACCACTTCCTGGACTTCGAGTCACAAGTCCAGCAGCACCATCCAATGATGTCCTGGGCAAAGGAGCTTCACCACATCGCCCGCCAAATCGTCGCGCTCCGATGCGTGTTACCGGCCCAAGTACTCTGACTGTACGAGAGGCTCCCGGACAAACATATCCTCTGGTTCAAGTACCCGCAAAATGTTAGCAATGTCTCTATGCAGCGTAAACTGATTCGTGGAAAAGGTCCCGCGGGTCGCCATGACAGCGACCAAAGACCTCGGCGGGCAGCTGAGCACGGGGGGCTGTCGCTATCGCCGTGGGCCGCTCCTTCGACCCGCCGATGCAGAAGTTCGCCAAGCTCGAACTCTCGGGAATCTCCTTGCACCACACCGTGATGAGATGATCGCCCCCGGCCCTATCATGCCGCCTGTTCGGAAGTGCATCCCCTGCGGCCGAGTACCAACAGCTACATATGACACAAGTTCTTCACAGTTCGTGGGAATGCCAGATATATATCTTGCTCGGGCAAAAGAAGGGCTTAGTACGCCACGCCCACCATAAAAAAACGTCAGTCTTGCACAGGAGGCCCCAAGGATTAAGTGAAATTATTAATGCCGTAGGCTATCCTATTCTTTTTTTCTTGGTATCATTCCTATTGCTATTCCTGTTTTATTCGTATTTCTATTCGTATTTCCTACTTCTTTTTATCTTCGGTTCCGTACCTATTCCTGTTCCTATCCCTCGAAGGAACTGCCGTCTTCTTTGTGGTGGGCGTGTACGTCGACAGCGCCCTCGGGATCCCTACGGGCCACCCGCTGAACTGAGAGAAGGCCATGCGCCCCGTCCAGCTTTTTACACGACCCTGGTCTGATCCAGCGCCCTGTCCATCATCCTGTGCGAACCGATCTCTTACCCGTGCTTGACAGCGACCGACGCTCCCTGGATGCGTCCCCGGAACCTCCCAAGTCGGCTGGATCTGACGCCGTGACTGGAAGGGGTGGCCCCATCCGCCATGCCAGTCGCCAAGATGTGGAAGTTGGGGACGAAGCTTGGCAACGGGGATGCGTCAGGGGCTGTTGACGCGCTCAACGATGTCGAAACCTCGGCTCACCCTGGGGACAGAGAAAAACATTCTGGAACCGGATGAGCGGACCACGAACAGCTCATTTTGGCAAGGAGCAAGTATTGGGTTACCACGCATTGCACATCCGCCGCGATCAAGGCTTTCGTGACATAGATAGCGCCAGTGTTGGGCTCAAGTGTCGAGGTTCAAGGGCGGCACAAGCCAGCGGCAAGTTCCTTGGACCCTTGGTTTACATCTCGCTTGCTCCTGCTTTGATATTCATTCTTATTTTCTTTTCCTTCACCGTAAATCTCACGTCGGCTACAGCTCAAGTGGAGTGGAAAAGGGGAGCCCTCCATTTAGCTTGTTTGTGGGGGTTGAAGAGGCGGTTGGTAATTTCAAAGCCACCCTCCCACCCACATCTCCAGCAGTCCCAAAGTAGCAAAAGAGATGAGGTGGTGCATGTCATTTCTTGCACTCGCCGCTCTCTCCTCTATCCCCGTGAGTCACAAGGCCGCCCGACTGTGATGATTGACGATTTGGGGTTTCTCGTGTGAGAAAATACTGCAGCAAGCCTCCGCCAAGAAGCAGGGTACGTATTCCTTGTGGATATGCCTCGGTCAGCGTGATTCGCATTCGCCAAATGCGGGAGCAGGTATTGTGTGGGGTTCCTGTGGCAGTGTACGTACGAATGGGCACATTTGGGTTGTATCGAACACGGAGCACCCATCTTGACGCCCAGCTTGCCCCAGCCCTGCTGCCGCTTACGGTACAGCCCCAACGTCTCCAGGAAGGTCAGCGAGGGCTCAGCCGTCGCGATGATGCAAGGCAAACTGGCATCGACCCGCTGTCTATCTGTCTGCCGTCGCTAGGTAGGTACCATGCAGGGATGTACGAGGTGTGGTGGCCCTGCTCATGTTATCCACCCCTTGTGCCTCCTCGAGGCTGCCACGGCGCCGAACGAAATTTATATATGCCGTATTCATCCCACTAGCGGCGTCTATCATCGTCGACTAGATTCTATTCACAGACGCCCGTCTTGATTCCTTGCATTGCACCTGATTTGTAGGCGAAGCTACGCGCTTGGTTTTGCCGTTGGCTGCCCGACCCAGCGGTTCCTCGAAGCACATATTCACATCGAACCCACGCCCGCTAGCGGAAGCTGGCACCCTCTTCACACCATGGACGACCCAATTACCTACCGCTATTTTTCTGCTGCCCTGATAGGCATGTGGTGCCTCCCTTTCGTCGTGTTCTTCGCCCTCAGTCTCTTCCTGGCCCGGCGCAAAGGCGACCCAGCGAGGGTAGCCGTGGTTTGGATAAAAGTCCTCCTCCCTTTCGCGACATTGTCAGTACCCCCCGCCCCCGGCCGCCAAACGGCAGCTCCCGAATGGCCCTATATCCGCCGTTTTTGCTGACAATCCGCGTTCTGCCATGCGTGCAGATATACCATATTGGTCACCATTTCCATCGCATCTTCCATCGCACTCCTGAAACTGCCTTACTCTCGGTACCGAGCTCCCGCTGTGAACCGGGCGGAGTATGCATACATCTCGCACCTCAACCGCAGCACCGCGTATGCCAGCTACGTGTCCGAGGGAGTTACAACCGCTTTGATTCTTTTCACCTTCGTGGAGCTGGGCAACGGCTTCATGTATGCCCTCTCGGGCGAGCGCACAACGCGCCAGAGAGTCTTCCGCTATCTATCCCTGATCCCGGCGCTCCTTGTCATCCTCATACCGCTCGCCGACACCATCTACGAGCACGTCGCTCTCTCTCGGTATAACGAAGATCAAATAAACGCTCTCAATAAGCTCAGCCTGGCAAACGTAATTCTCAGGTGGATCTTTACCCTCCCAACGGTTGCCTACGCCGCCGTTGCGGTGCATTACTGCAAGGCACAGCCTTCCGTCCGCGGAGTGAGTGACCCCCCTTCTGATAACCTCGAGGCGTGGCCACGTGTCGCAACGCCGCCGCCTCCCGTGGCCCCCTGATGCGGCAATGTGCTAAAAGTTTGACCATGTAAAAGATCGCGATCCAGTTCCTCATCGCCACGATCCTCATGTTTGCTCGTGCGACCAGCACACTCATCCAACTGGCGGTGAACCTGCTCGACAGGTTCAGCGAATCCCCCGAAGCGGCATACTATATCTCCCCTATCTTCAGTTATCTGACACTAGGCGTTGCCGTCACCCTTTTGTTTGTGATTGCCATCCGCAAGAAGAAGGGACTCTGGAGCACCCAGAAGCGGCTCCATGATAACATCGAAGCCGGCGGCCAGGCTGTCCAGCAGCAGGGATACGGAGAGCCTGCTGGCTGGCAGCCGCAGCAGCTTCAGCCGGTTCATCAGGTGAAACCCCCAGCCTACTAGACTGTCTGCACCCGAGACTCCATGAATGGGCTTGACCTCATTTGTGGTTGACGTTGTTTGTGGGACCCGCTCGGGATAATTCCGGGGGTGAAGAGCACATATCGCTTTGTTGTCTTGTTTGACGTCCACCACCTGCGGCTTCCCCCGGTTCGCGGTGGCGGGCAGCCATGCAGCTAATACTTTTCTGGCGGGATGTTACCCTGCTGTTTCCGCTTTCACCTCCGCCTTTACTCCCTACCTACCTATATTAATCACTCTTGTCCTTCCGCAAGAAGCTTATCCATTTTGGAGCGGCGTTCGTTGGAGCATGGGGGTTATCTGATGCACACGAGCACATGACCTTTCTTTGTTGTATACAGCACCAAGTCTATAGATCTATATATACCCACTGTGCCTGCCTATTGCCATCAAGTTCAATCAGTGTCCTTGGGGCTAGGGACGCCCTCGGGCAGCGCAAATAGAGGCCGGGTAGTCGGCCACGCCTTCGCAACGAATCTATTTGGTGTTAGCGGATCTATCTGTCAAGGGCCGGTCGAGTATGAACCCTCACTTCGTGTGGCTTCCTCGGGCAGCCAGTTCTCCCTTGGCGTCTTGGAAAACCACCGTCGTGTAGGCAAGCGTTCTTCCAACTGGGCCAAAAGCAGTATTAGCATAAAGAGACAGTCAGTGACGCCTATACTAGGATACGCGCAGAATGTGCCTACTCTTGTCGCAAGTCGCAGTTCCGGTAAGCCTGTCACCAACAACACCGCCACTGCTCAAGTACGTAACTATTGGAGTGCGACCAGTCAGTACGTCCCGGCTAGAGAAAACTCGGCCAGTGAGGGTAATTTAAATGTGCGAGGGGATGTGCATGCCGTTCAAGTCTGTTGACACGCCGGTGGAGTAAAGCCCCATGGAAGCCACAGCTAGAGAACCTCCCAGGTCCACCATGCTGGCTAGCGTACCGCCATGGATGGCCTTCATGCGGTTCTGACAAATAAAAAAAGTCAACACAGGTCCGGCCGGGCGGGCTCAGCGCGCTGTGAAGAACATACGATATGATCTTCGCTGATGTCTAGCTCAAAGTCGACCCTGCCCTTCTGGGCATCCTTGATACGGAACTAATGGACGTGGGTGAGGATCAGCGTAGGCTTGGGCCAAGATACATGGTGTATCGTCAAAGCTCACGTTGTTGCTTCCAAGGAGCCTAAGTATAGTCGATATTTGTCAGCTCCATGGCCTCTAGGATTCTTCTCGCAAAGCACTACCCATGCAGGCACATGATAGATCCCCCACGCAAGTAGGTCTTCATATCAAGGCTGGGCGAGCTTGCGTACTGACCTGGGCTCCAGTCCAGATTCCTTCCAGAAAGACCTCATTACCTGGCGTGCGTCACGCACTCAGTATCGGCAAACATCCATGCGGGCAGTCATTAATATCTTCGATCATGGTGCCTTAGCAATGGGCAATCCTGGCATGCGAGCCTGTGACTTACAGCGTTGACAAACGCCACAGGCTTCAATTGCTTTGCTGCCATTGTCGGGTATGTTGCAGCCCAGGAAATGCTCAGCTGCCTTTCTTGCTCGTTATGCTCTGGATATGTCTGTAGATGGCGAGTGGGGTTGGCGTGAGGGACTGTGGACTCTCGTTGAAGCTGTCATGGTCGGCTCCTCGGCAATGGTGCAGTGGAGGTTCAGGTACCGACAGTGTGGCATACTTTGTGGGTCTCACCAGGTCCCAAACTCCACTGTAGATTCTCGATATGGATGACGCACGTGCGCTGGGATGACTGCCTGTGAGATCATTGCGAGTTCACAAATTGATTACCGCGCAGTGAGGCTTTCAACATCCCATTACTTTTCTCGCGAGCACGCATTTCCAGCCGCCCCTCTAGGCCGTCATTGTTTTCGATCTCCCCGGTAGCTGGGCACCTGCGCCACCACGGAGAATGCACCCATGAGGCGGCGCATCACTCGAACCGACCTCGGATGCGAGCACCAGCACGCGCCCTCCCCGATCCCAACGAGGTAGTCCGCCGCCGCCGTCGCCATGTCTGCGCCTATCATCACCCTCTCCGACTACCTGGAGAGGCAGTCGGGGACCACGTTTAAGAAACTCTACCAGCAGCCGTCAACCGCCTTCGCTATTTTCCGCCGAATGCTCCCGAGCCTGGCGAAGACCTTCGTCATGGCCCTCCTCTATATGCCCAAGCCGCTCTCCCTCGCCGACCTAGATACGTGGGCCAAGCCCGACGCTCGCAAGCAGAAAGACCACGCCCTCGCGATTCTGCGCGTCCTCCACATCGTGCTGATCACAGCGCCGAGCAAGGAAAAGTCACAAGAGGTGTCGCTTACGCCCAACTTCAAAAAGTCACTGCGCCTTGCCCTCGAGGGCGGCGGCACTAGCCACAATACCTTCGGCGTTCCCTCCTCCCTACCTGTCCCGCCAAACGTCGACATACCGTTTCTCGACAAGTTTGCCCGCACTAGGTGGGACGCGATTCTGCACTATGTCGTTAATAGTGTCGAGGGTGACGAATTTGCCCAACGTCCAAGCAAGAGGCTACACTCGGGAGGATCCAAGCTGCAGGACACAGTCAAGGAGCTGCTGGTGGCCGGTGGGCTGGTTGAGAGACGGGGTGGTAGCATCTCCATCAGCAAGACAGGCTTCACGTTCCTGCTGCAAGAATCCAACGCGCAGGTATGGACGCTGCTGCTACAGTGGCTCGAGGCGGTCAACGCGGCCGGCGGGGACCACTCGGCCATGGCGGTCGATATGCTGAGCTTCCTGTTCATGCTGGGCACTCTCGAGCTCGGCCAAGCCTACGATACGGAGGAGCTGTCGGAGCAGAGGCGCAACATGCTGCCCAGCCTGGTCGATTTTGGCCTGGTATACATACCCCCTGGTAACACCAGCCAGTATTTCCCGACGCGCCTGGCGACCACCCTTACCAGCGGGTCGTCAGCGCTGCGTAGCGCCAGCTCAGCCTTGGCCGCAGCGACTGCCGAGGGCCCCAACGCGTCGGGCGGCGGGCAGAGCGAGGCGGCCAAGGGCAGCATCATCATCGAGACGAACTACCGATTATACGCATACACAAGCACGCCGTTGCAGATCGCAATATTGGGCCTCTTCGCAGAGCTGAGATTCAGGTTCGCCGGCATGGTAACGGGGCGCCTCGACCGGGAGTCCATCAAACGGGCCATCTCATATGGCATCACGGCCGACCAGGTCATCGAGTACCTGGCGGCGCACGCACACGAACAGATGCACCGGACAGCAACGCTGCGGAAGAAGCCGGTGCTGCCACCCACGGTGGTGGACCAGATCAGGCTGTGGCAGCTCGAGACGGAGCGCATGAAGATCATGCGTGGATTCCTATTCCGCGACTTTGACAGCCAGGCCGAATATGACGACCTGGCCAAGTACGCCGACGAGATCGGCGTGCTGCTCTGGCGCAGCGACGCACGGCAACTTTTCTTTGCCAGCAAGGTTGACCAGCTCAGCGTATTCCTCAAGGCCAGGAAGAAGGCCGCGCAGTAGCGGTAACCAGATGGCCTTGTATGATGATGGGCAATGCTTGTGCGTGGGCATGCTTCATGTGATTCACAATCATCAGTGCCTCTATGCCTTCATTTTCCCTTTCTTTTTGGTTACTCCTCACGGCGTTTAAGGCGGGTCTGCATGCAACTCCAGGTTTTAGGAGGGTCGGTCGACAATACCTGCCAGGCGATAGAAGGAAAGGCTACTACCATATTCACGGCTGCTGTTTCGACGTTGGACGACATGATGTCATTATAGATTCTCGCTACCTCTAGCGGCAGTATCAAGCGTTAGACATTCCCGTATGCACACCGATGGAAGTTTCGTGCTGGATTTGTAAGGCTGTCGGGTGGAAGCATCAGGAACTCCCATGCTCAAGTCATCCCTTCCCTTTTGGAACTGGGAGCTCGATATGCGTGTGTAACGTGGATCCACGTGCCGCGCCTTCTACGTCTGCAAGATCACGACTGGCAGGCGGTAGATGGGCAATATGCACCTCCCCTGTCTGTTGGGTAAAAGCAATGGCTTGGTAGGCCGCGCTTACTTCCAGCGCCTCGATCACGACTAAAGCAAGCAAGCGCGCCTGGGGCCATCTTTCTCCAAGTGCAAGTGGGCGGCCAGGCTCGCTTTCCCAAGACCAGCATAGGTCGAGCAGGCACGCGGTTTTGCCGACAAATCTCGCCGCCCGTCTTCTCTCCTTTTTTCTCGAAACAACTCTTCCTTGCTTCTTGTCTTGGTGTGCTTCCACGTCATCCCAGCCGCAAACATCTACCAGGTCGTTAGCATCTTGTGGCCGCCCGTTTTCACATTGCTCTCAGATCCGGGTCGCCTCGTTTTGTTTTGGGTGTCACTCTGCCCTCATTTTTCTTCCCACTGTCGTCGCCCCCATCAGCTTTTTATCTTCGTCTGAACTCTTTCGCACTCGCAGCATCTTCCATCACCCCCAAGCCATGTCTGATCAGGCTGCCCTGGATCCCCACCTCGAGCCAGATTTACTAGAATCAGGTCCGCACGAAAGCAGCCCCAAGATACCAACTTTGGCTGAGGAGCTTCTGGCCGAGACATCAACGCCAGAGGTGTCACCCACATCCCCCGAGGAACTGCAGCTCAGCTCCGACTCGTCTGACGAGCTCCCTCGACCCACGTCCCCGAACTACGCCAGGAAACCATCTATCTCGGCCCCGCTCGCCTCTCCTGTCCGCTCCCCTAGCCGTCACCGCGTCAACAGCCGCGCCGTGAGGAACATCGTCTTCCGCAACAAGTCCTCCTCCCCGACCAAGCCTGGAATTCCGAACAAGTCGGCAGTCTCGTCCATCAGGTCAAACAGGCTCAAGCACAAGACCCCCCACGGCGAGGAGGTCTTCTTTGGTGTCTCTTTTTCGTCCGACGACGCTGCTGAACCTCCCGCGCTATCCCTCCGTGAGATCCGCTTCCCGCGCGGCGGTAGGACAGACATCGATCCCAACGCCCAAGGAAGAGCGGACGGGCCAGACGGCTACTTCTTCACCGACCCCGGCAAACCAACCCTCACCAACACGGCGAATTTCTGCGCCTTGGGTGATAGCTCGGACTTGGGAGAGGACGGATACGAGCTCAGCGACGACGGCAGCACCATCCGCTCTCTCGACTCGCAAGAGAACTGTCAACAGAGCAGCGAGCATCCGACTGGAAATCAACCAGCTCACAGCCCCTCAGGCACCCGCCCCAGCAACCCCAAAGACTCGTCCCGGACACCGTTCAGCCACACTGATCTGGAAGACTTCGCGGAGGCTCCCTGGGCCCACTACCTCGAGACCCTGTCGTCTTTCCGTGCTCTCTCGGTAGATATCATCGTCGCCTCGTATGTGATTGTCTCCACCCTGGGAGCCTCAACTGCGAAGAACCTGTACGCAACCGTCCGCTTTGACTGCCGCTTGATCTGGGCCCTCATAAGCATCTGGGTCGACTTCTTCTGCACTATTCTTCAGGCCATTCACCTCTCTCTGTGGCTGTGGCTTGGGTACCTCAGCTTATGCTGCCTCAAGCGCCTCCCCGAGAACGTCATCGGAGAGCTGGCGATTGACCGCGCTGCCGCTCTCGATCGTGCCTGGCGTAAGCTCTGCCACTGGGCCACCCTCAGCAACAGCGCAGTGTTTACTCGTCCCGTTTCTACTGTCGTTTCCTATCTTTGGCAAGTCGTCCCAAGATGCCTCGCTCACCTCGGTCCTTTCCGCTGGACGACAGGCGCGAAACCAGACTTCCAAGGTTCTCAGGCGGAAGACGAAACGTCGGGCTCGTCTCAATCTCCAACCATCCCCCACCAGAGCCACCAGCAGATTTCTGCGCGGGAACTCCCAGAGAAAGCGAAGGCCTCAGCACAAAAGCCGGCCCAGCTCGCTGCCCACCACGGCTCGCCCAAGAAGGCAGCTCAGCACCGCAAGCAAAGCCCGGTTGTCAAGTCCCCTCGACACATGTCGACAGGAGCGGCGATCACGGAGATGAGGAAAGGATTGTGGTCGCCTCTGGACCAAAAGAGGCACGTCGGATTGTCGATGTACTAGGTCTGCGCAAGAGACCCAAGTCTCCAAAGCGGCGGCTCGATATCAGCGCGCCAGTCGGCCCAGTCTTGTACAACGGCAAGCTCGTGTCTCCAGAGCCTTCCATCGCCGTCTCTCTTACTACCGCCTACCCTGTGCAACCGACATACCAGCCTCGCAAGGCCAGTAAGCTTCACGAGAGTGTCCAGCCCTCGGATTCGGAGACGGACGCTCCGGCTGCTTCTACTCTCCGAATTCCAAGGTCCCGCACTCTCACAGTCTTATCCAACATATCCCATTCGCTCTCCAGAGCATCACTCGGCAGCTTCGCATCAAACCGTAACGTCAGCAATTCATCAACGAGCACTATCCCCATGTGTCGTGACGGCCCGGAACAAAGTAGGCACGCACAGGCACGGGCTTCCCTCCCTCGGGTCGTCGGCAGAAAGTCACTCGAGTCGCAGGCAGACAGTGGCCCTGTCGCGCCCCCTACACTGAATCACCGTCTAGTCACCACAGCCATGCCGGACTCGTACTGGGCTGGTCGCTTCCTAGGTCTCCACGACCGTTTCCACTCAGAACTTCTCGGGCCCAACAACTTGGAGATTATGGTTAACGCACACGCATCACTTTCGGCCTTGCCGAATCAGGACGGCACGGGGGAGCAGAAATTAGCACATAGAGCGGCATGCATGAAGCCCTCAGCTACGTCCTCGGATATTGTGCATCGCCCTCGGGCTATTTCTGGCAGCAAGAAAGCGCAGACGCGTGATGCCGAGCGCCTAGAAGACGAAGACAACCGCTCCCGCCGCGTGTTTCTACACCTCGAGACAATGTGCATTACCAGGGAGGCGCGCGGGAGCCTACAGGCTTTCCAGCAGGAGTACGCCCGCAAGATGAAGCGCCCAGGACTCCTCCCCCAGGGTGGCAGCATGGAAGATCGCGGCTTCATCTCTCGTCTGATATCCGGAGGCAAGGTCGCGCCAGCAAAGGTTACTGTCACTGTCAGCAAGACCAACACAGCAGAGACGCCCAAGACTGGTGGACTCGGGAAACAGCTGAGCTACCTGTACGCCGCCGCCCCTTATTAGGCATGCTGCTTGGTCTATTTCTATGTCCATTTTCTTTTTGTCGCACGTTTTATATCCTTTCGGCTGGCCAAGTCTACACACCGCGGTTTTCCTTTTGCTGTGTTCTTACGGTGGTGGCCTGGCACTGTTGGTTTATGATCTCGTTATCCCCTCTGCTGTGGATCGCGTTTCTCTGATTCATGTTTAGAGTTAGTTCGGGACAACGTTTAAAGGTGTTAGTGGTTCGTGTCAGAGATATTTTATCCGCCCACTGCCGATGTCTAGCTCGCGCTGTCCAAGAGAAAAATGTTTTATACTCGAGAGGAGAAAATTAATGCGCTTCTCCAGATGCCAGTCCCACGCATGTGATATCCAACAAAAAAAGCACTTGCCGGGATTAAGGCAGCGAAGCCAAAGGACTAATCTAGGCTCCAAGTGAATACCTAGCCATGGCAAGCAAAAATTCAAAGTCTCGTCTGCATGAGAGAAAGAAAAGCACAAGCCCTACAGCCTAGCCATGTACATTCGTTGGCCGCCATGAGATACAAAGGCCGCATCCCGAGTGTCTCCCATCGAGGTCCGGCCGTGGCCTAGTCAGCAACCGGCATGGTCATCCCACCCGTCGATGCGGAATCGGAACGTGACGTCGCCCCGGCCTCGCTCGACTGGGCTGCCGTAGTCGTCCCACAGGGACCGCTCGGTGTAGCGCACGTTGCCGTCCCAGTCGACCAGGATAATGGTCTGCCGCTGGGTGCCGTAGAGCCCGGTCGAGAAGCCCATGAGCTGGTCCTGGGCGGAGGGCTGGTGGTGCACGACCGGGGTGGTCTCGGCCTTGGCCGCCACGGGCGTCAGCGGGCGCTCCTTGGACGCCGGCGCCGTCAGCCCTGA